TCCGGTTCTGTTTCCGTCTGTCTCCATTCGTCGGAATTCTGACGTAAACGGCTTCGAGGGCAGTCACAAAGCATTCGGTGCTTCGCGGCACGATAAAATCAAGCGCAGTGCAGATAAGAAAGAGAAGAATGTTGGCAAAGATAACCGTAATCGTTTTGCAGCGAACACCCACGCTAAACGTCTATAAGAGATGTGGTGCTGGCGAGAAGCAAGCTATCTAGAGCAATATCCGATGGTCTCAGTGTTCCGCTTGTTGAATTGTCTCAGGGTTCGGGGAGCGAATGGGAACAGATGTGAAACCAGATTGGAACACAATAGTTCCAACTATCCACTCCACATCATAGCTTACCTGTCTTGTTGTTTTGCCCGACCTAGTCCAATATCTACAAATGAGACAGGTTCGGACACACATTGTCCGGGTATTTGTAGGGCGTGCGCCAGACACCACGGCGCAGAGTAGAGATGCGAGGAAACCATAGGGAACACATGAAAACCATTTCTTTTGGTTCCTCTATTCAAGCTCATCAGGGGGGACAACTGGGATTTCCAAAACAAAACTGTCAGAAGGGAATAAGTGTAACGGATTCAACTAATGTTCTCATAGACATTTACAAAAAATACAAAAGTTTGAACCGATTTTGAAAAAAAAGATATCATGGACAAAATGGACGGACAGAGAGAAGATCTGCTTGGTGGATGGGTGTGTGTGTACCAGACAGTGAATAAATGAATAGAATTCAAAAAGATAGACTGAGACTGAAGAAAGAAAAGCCCTACACAGCGGACAAAAACAGAACACAGTACAAAGATCTGGAATGTCTGCGAACAAGAACAGGATAAAACGGGTAGGTGAATATGACTTACCATCATCTGAGCTTCCACTTTCAAATCTATTCTCTTTACTAATCTCAACAAATCCCTATAAGCGTGTGTGCATGCACAAAGGGAAGAAGCAAAAATATATATTTGAAGAAAAACCGGATCGTTCTAGCACTGCTAAAATAAGTAATGAGAAAAAAATTACAGCTGGAATCGATTCGACACAAACGGCAAATGTGCATGGTCGGCATGACGAAAATGGGGGGTGGCGGCATAGGATGTGACGTTTACGGGCCATAGATCTGACAGACAACAAGCTCATCCAGATATGTTCGACTGAGATGCATTCCGCTGAGATTTACGTCTATGAAACCAACGATCGAACGCGGGGATTCGTTGAAGAAGCGCACAGAGCAGATTGGCCGGAGTCCACTGATATGTGCGAATCATGGATTCGATCTCCTCTCGTACCTTGATGACATTGATAACAAAAGGGAGACGGACGGGGGACACGGCGAAATAGGGGATTATAAGTATGAACGGTGAGTTTGTGCTGGAGACAGTTATCGTACGCCCCAACCCAAACAAATTTACCCACGAGAGAGAGTACAATGATCGAATCCCATTCCTAAATGTCCTACTGATGGGAAACTAAGATGGAACTATCCAAAGAGGGGCAACCAGAAAAACAGCATGTACAGGACCATATGCGAATTTCAATTGCCTCGTGCCATTGAAACAAAGGAACAATCTGGTGAGATGCCCAGCTGAAGGCACGGAAAATTGGCTCTNCATAGCAGAACAACTTGAACACGTTGAAAACTTTCCTGGCGGGAGCGGTTCATACAAAAACATCTAACGGAGACCCGAGCGACCGGTGGTGCACGTGGCTACTGGAAAAACATCCTGCCTTTCGAAGGTGTCAACGTGACTGAGTGGCTTACATGTATCAATCAAGCTTTGCGTCAGACGTTCACAACAGCTGAGCTGCGCATGAATTTCGCCACATCCTCAACAATGCACAGAACAGATGGGAAGCACAACTGAAAATACCGATGATACATATCAGGTCACAACAGTACATGGGGTGTTGAAATCGACGAACGATATGCTCCTATCCAAGGTAAAACTCCGAGGTATATAACACCAATTTTCACAGATACGGCGCTAAATAACCATATTATAGGTAAAAAAGAGGGGAAAGTAAAACAGTCAACATCAAGGAGTGACAATTTTTTTGTATGTTTACTGCACGCCATGTTGAGTTCTTTTTTCGTTTTTATTTATTTTTGGGATTGCAGACAAGAGAGGACGCAGTCGCGCCACTGACTTCGGTTCGATAGCATATCGCGCAGTGTCTCTAGCCAAAGACAATCTGAATCTTTGGGACCCCGGCCGGGGAGCCGAGAAACCCCAATGGAAGCCAGATTCGAGCACAATCTCTTTAACCCTCTGTGCCACTTCATAGCCGCCCACCTTGCTGTTTCTTCCAGCCTGGACCGATTTCTGCGAATAGTGCACGGTGTGGCAGACGGTGCTCGGGCATTCGTAGGACGTGCCCTAGCCACCTAAGACGGTGCTGTGAAATTATTTTGCTCAAAAGAAGATATCTGGTCCTAGCATCCGTCGTCTGATTTCATCGTTACTCACGCGATGCTTCCACTATATGCGGGCGGTGTTGCGCAGACAACGGTTGTCAAAGTCAAACTTTTAT